TTTCATAAAATAAGAATGCATCCCAATATCACCCAATTATTGTCTTATTCTTCAGAGACCGTTGAAAAATTTGAAAAGGAAAGATGGTTTCTTGGACTCAAGGTTTCATCAACGCTGTTGGTAGCATGGTCCGTCTAAAAAATAATAGTTTTTATAGTTTTAGAATGAAATTATGAATATTAGATTGTGAATAAAAAAATAAAGCTGTTAACCTACACCTTGACTACTTGGTCGGACGTAGAGTTATTGGATGCCCTTTTTTTTTGAACTTTATCGAAGCCACACTTTTCTAGTGTACGTTTGTTCTTGCATTCTTTTACAACTTTTTCTACAGCTTTTTTTCTGCCTTGGGACCCTGAATAATGCTTTCGAAAACTGAACATGACGTTTTTACTCTAAGATGTGTGTTACTTATTTTTATATAAAATAAAAAAAAATTTTTCATTTGGTTTGAATTTTTTTATATAGAATTTAGTTCTGGAAGGAATTAAAGAGAAAAAGAATTAAATACAATTTCACAATATCAAATTAATTGGAATGAATGTATTTTTAATAAAAATAATTTTAATAAAATCTTTTATTGAGGGTCGCATGTACCCCCTTTTTCCGTGTGCGAAGCTAAAATATAAGGATGGGGGGGGGGTAAAATATAATGTACTCCCTTTTTCCGTGTGCCAAGCTAAAATATAAGGAGGATGGGGGGTTAAATATAATGCACGTGTGCCAAGCTAAAGTATAATCACGTGGAGAGGGGAAGGGGGAGGTGCCTTTGCAACTTTCGCCGACTAAAAAAAAAAAAAGGTCTTCGTTTTTTAAAATTTGCCGAATGTTATAACGACATTTGCCGACTGACTGTCTAAATTTACCAACTAACCTGTCGAAAGGGTCTACATTTGCCGACTAACTAGTCAAAAAGGGTCAAACTTGCCGACTAAATGAACGAAAAAATCATTGATAGGGGGGAAGAGGTGTCACCCCCTTCCCTTACACATACACACCCCCATCGCGCCGGCCTTGATTATGGATTTATGTTATTAACATTTTCTCTTTTTAATATTATTTTCAAATATCAGAATACAACTCTATTTTGTCAATAAAAATTACAATATACACTTTTATGCAATACAATTATGGTTCTAACCTAAAAAAATCTATTGCGTTAATATTGTACATCATATTGCATTTCATGCGATTACAATAAATATTTACATCTAAATAGTATAAATTAATGGCAAGTTTATTTAAAGTTCATACAACCTTCACTCAATAAAGTACTTCATAACAACAGCTAAACATTTGAGTAAATTAATTAGATATTACAAGTAATGACAAATACCTTTTTTTTTTTGTTTTTTTGTTATTCACCTCCTCAAGGCCGAGAAGGCCACTATAAATGAGAAGGCTACTTAATAGTGGTTATAGCCCTCTCTCAACTCTTTAACTCTGAAATACGAACCTTGACGAACTAGGCCGCCATGCGGAGAAACATCTTAGTGTGATTCAATAGAAATTCAAATAAATAAGTGTACTTTACTAAAGGCGTTAATTTCATTGCATGTGCAATGAAATTAACGCCTCCTTCCTTACCGTGACGCTAAAATATGCCAAGAGCTCATTTCGAACCTAAATCTCCTGCTTCAAAAGCATGCGCTCTAGCCACTGCGCCACAGCCGCAGTGATTAGAGGTTAGTTTTCATTCATCTTTTTATCTACGTGAACGGGAAAGAATAGGAAAAAACAATCACTTGAGCATGCGTAGTTTTGCTTTAAACAATTAAAATTTATACTACACATGCTCACTTGAGTATTTATCCCTTCCCTCTCCCGTTTATGTAGAAAAAAAGATGAGTAGAAAAAGGCCTTGTGGAAGATGTATTTTGTTCCGATTATTAAAAATCTTCAGAAAGTAAAAATTTATTAGACAAAAAATATTTGATTTATGATTTTTTTTTCACTGCCTAATCATAGCTGCAATTCGCAGCCTAACTTTACTGCCTGCATTTCACTGCCTGTATTTGCTCGCAGCCTGCATTTCACTGCCTAATCGAAGCTATATCAACTCTTCCATTATTTTACTGAGATTATGTATCAACTATTCTATTATTCCATTGCAAATTGTATCATCTATTCTATTATTCCACTGCAGAGTTGATACATAATTGAAGAGAAATAATGGAAGAGTTGATTCATCATCGCTGTGGAATAATGGAAGAGTTAATACATAATCGCAGTGGAATAATGGAAGAGTTGATACATAATTCTACGTGAAATAAATTTTATCTTAGTCTAAAATGTTGTAAAAATTAATTTATCATATTTTACATTAAATGTAATTTTAAAAAATTATATAACGTCTATAAAACACATTAAAATATTGACGACAGGGACTACTAAAACAAGTAGTCACGATTAACGCTTCCAAAGATAGAAAAAGGAATAAGTTATCAAACAATGGAAGTTTTATTATGAAGAAATACTTATAAAAAAATAACCTTATGGTTTATTGAATAGCCAAAATTAAATAGAGTTAATATCGTTCTTATCAACAAACCTTGACATTAAGGGTAGGACAATGTGGTAGTGGTGTAGTGGTAATGCGCTCGTTTCACAAGCAAGAGGTTCTGAATTCAATCCCCACCACGTCCCTGGTAGTACCGCGCTCAACTTGGTTCTCCGCGCAGCGGTCTTGTTTGTCAAGGTTTGTGTCAAGAGTTGAGAGAGGATTATAACCACTATTAAGTAACCTCCTCATCTATAGTGGTCTTTTCGTCCTTTAGGAGGTGAATAACAAAACAAACAAACAAACAAACAAAAAAGGGTATTTGTCATTGTGGAAGACAAGAAATTATATACCCAGCAAACATTTTATATCGGAGCTTCAGTGGACCTATATAGGCATTTTGAACGGACCGTTATAGTTTTGCTCATTTACTTAGTTGACCACTATAGGCAGCCGCCAAAAGCGGCTAACAGATGACTAGCCACTATTTATATGTCGGAATGTTATCGTCTTCCCATTTATACATTCCTAGTTAAATGCTTTTCTATGGTGTTTTGTGAAAATGGTCTTCTTGAAGCACCAAAATAGTTAAAGACTGGTTTAATCAAATTTGCTTTTTGACCAACACAACTTGGGTATTTTTTGCAATAACGTTCACATTTATTTTAAATATTCTAGTTCTGCTTTATCAGATCTATGAATGTTAAAAAAACGGGGATTACGATAAAAAAACGGGGATTACTATAAAAAAACGGGGATTACGATAGTTTAAGGTGCCTAAACATGTAACTGCAAAAAAGAGTAAGCAATAAATATATACTGTCTGTCACCAACGCTAAAACTGGAATATTGTGCAATGTATTTTAGTATCCTGTTTTGTTTGCCCAGGAAAAAATGTTCTATAGATAGGCAGGATAGCTCAATTAGTTAGAGTGTCAAGCAAATAGTTAAAAAACTCGGACTGTTGTACGATACAAGTTCAAACCCTGCCACCGCCAATTCAGTGCTTGAGTAGTACTTCGGTACGCAAATGTTGATGGTCAATAATGGACGCTACTTTGGATTAGTCATAATGACTTTTTGTGACTGCTCCTATGCTAAGCCAACAGTATTTTCGGGTATAAGAACTTTGTATAGAAAAGTACATCAAAATAAAATAAATATAGAATTTCTATAAACTTTTGAAACATATGGCTTATATAATTCTATAGAATTTTGAATTTTTCTTTCAAAATATATGGCCTATAGAATTCTATAGAATTTCTATAGAATTTTTGTTAATTTCTATGGAGATTTTTTTATAGAACTTTTTTTCTACTTTTTTTTCTATAGAAAAAATAGTTTTATGGCAATTTCTATAGAAATTAATACATATTCTATAGAAAATCTATACAAATTTTATAAAGTTTCTACAGGCCTTATGTTTCAAAAGTTTATAGGAATTCTGTATAACTTATTTTTCTGGGTGCTCCTAAAAGTACATTTTAAGGATACCAATCCAAAGACTAAACTATACAATAAAAATTCCATCAAAAAATCGTTTAAAAGTTACGACCATAAAAATTACAACTAAAATTTATTTAAAAAAATAATATTAAATATTTTCAAAAAAGCTTTTTAAGCAAAGATTTTGTTTGTAACAATGAATAACATCATGTTATACTTTTAACAGCCACAGCATAGTATAATCTACCAATGTTTTGAAATTGACTGCTACAGAGAATTCTGTTGCTGTCCATGATTCACGGCTAGGCAAACACATTTATTTTGCCTTTCGTACATCATTGTATGTTGGATACAAGTTGCAATCTTTTTTGCATTAGTTTTAAAACGCTGATATTCATCTCATTATCTAACAAACGAGCCAACGCTTCTTCAAGTGTGGCTCTTTCAGGTGAGTCATTAGAATGAATTAGTTCAGCATTTTTGTTACCAATATAAAAATGTTTTTTAAATTCATTTTTATAATCATAAACTAGTTCAAAATTCATTAGCAGATTTCAAATTTCAGCAAAAATTCTCCATTTGCTTAAGATCTATAACGATGTGAAATTATAAAAACAACGTAAACAACCAATGTTGTGCCAACGCAACTAGCAACATTGATCTAACGTTTTAAAATTCCTCTCAATTAACCTCTGAAATAACTTTGTATGGATTTTAATTTTTACAGGAGAGGTTTTTTTTTTTGATGAAATTTGACATCTATCAAACTTTGATTAAGTTTGATAAAACACAAACACAAAAAATCTTTTTTTAGAACTATATCCTAGGGGAGGGCTATTAGAAGTCCAATTGGGTTGCTACAAGCACTTTAATACCCTAAAAATAAACTTCGGATTAAAGCTGTCTATATTTTAGCATACTGTTGCAAGAATTACCTTCCAAACGATGCTACTTTGGTAAAACACTCTACAGATAAAATCGGCAAATTGTGTTTTAATCATTTAATCTTTTTAAAAAAATTCTCTCATTCCCTGTCAACGTTATTCTCGGAACATTTTAGCGATCAAAATTTTGTTGCAACGAGGTATTTTGTTATTGGATCGCTTTGCAGAAAAACAATCCGTTCTACAAAAAAAAATTATGCTAAAAAAATGGCACGTAATATGAAAAAGTATACGTTTTTCAGGTGTGGAATACTATGGCTTTCTATGTTGATCTCAATTTTAAAATCTCAATCATTCCTAGATATAGAGGAAATTTCAAGGATGAAATATGGAGTAATAATATCAAACAATCCCGTATTGTTTAATGAGGTGTATTATTTATTTGTTATATATTGTTTAACAACTCGTTATATATTGTAAATGCTTGTGATTCTTTTTTGAGATACAATCGCAAGCATTAGAAATTAGTTAAAAAATTAAAGATTTTATTTCTTATTTATCATATTTTGAGGGTTTTTTATTATATATTATTGTCGAATGAATGTTTAAATTTAATAGTTTTACTATTTTAAAAGATAATAAATTAAAAGATAAAAAGTAATTTAGATATACTAATCTATTTTTTACCTTTTTATTTTATTGATAAATTATTAAATTTTTAAAATTGAGTTGTTTTTTTTACTTAAAAATAAAACAACTAAAATATTTAGAAAATTGGCGAAAATGAGTTGATTATATCCTCTAAACACGGACAACAATACATATGCACTTTACCAGAAATTCAGGTTGATTTAAATGTGGAGCAAAAGAATTCAAACTTTCACTATAGTTTGGTGACAAAGATTTTAGATGAAGCTTTTAATGGATCTTGTCTTACTTATGTACGTTATATGTATGTTTGTGTTGTTATCCTAGCAGATTTAGAATAGTTAGAAAGCAATATGAATAAAATATGTTGAGCCTTAATAAGCCAATTACCTTACATAACTTATGTATAAAATGTGTAAGGTAATATATAAGTTGTAAGAATAACATTTTTTTTAGCACAAAGGGTGGTGGTCATATAATGTGTGCCATAAAGACAAGATAGAACAGTTTCATGTTGAAAGTAAGTCTCATTCTTTAATTATTTTATGTGCATACAAATTTACTTTTGACCTGATTTTTTAAATCTTTTTTTTGAAATTTGTCTTAAACAATTTTTTCTTTGTAATTTCTTTAATAAAATTTTTCAGCAATTTCTTTTTTTGTTTAAATATTCAAACAAGATCATACTATTTCTCTGATTAAACAAAATTTTAGTCTTGAAGTTTAGGGTAACAAGTTGCATAACTTTTGCATACTGTCAATTAATTTTTAGATTATGTGTCTGGTTTTCTCTTAGCTCATGAAATAAGTTTAAAATTAATTTAAATTAACTTCTGCACCCTCCTTATAAATATTTTTCAGATTTTCTGCTTCAGTTAATTTCAAGATACATCACTTAAAATCTTGATTAGACCATTCAAATTGAATGGTCTAATCCTATTTTTTACTTCTAGTTTTTTCTTTAGCAAAGTTCTCTATATGCTGCATTAACTTCTGATATGAATATAAAGTATTATATTTTATCATAAGTATTTTATTATAAATAGAAAATTAAAAGGTAGTTTAAAGTGTTAATCAAGTTTATTTTTTTTTTATAGATGATGCAAAAATAAGTTCTGTATCATTGCTTGGTTTTTATGAGTCTGAGGATTATTCAAATGTTTCAGTGGTGAGTATTGTTATGTTTTTTACTCAAATTATGGCAGTTTTAAATAGCTTTATAAATTGTAAAATATTTTTTGATTGGTATATAATTTCTAATAGCTGACAAACAAGACAAGAGTTTTTTTTTATAGTTAATTTAATAGTCTTCAAAAAAATAGACAGGTTTTACTGGTTACCAGTTAAAAAAAGCTTTTGTAGTATCAGCAGCTTCTGTAAAGCCATTCCTGTAAAGCCACTCATGTAAAACCACTCCTGAAAGTAAATGTAAATTTCTGAAGCCACTAATAAAAGTTGATGTAAATATCAGGCAAACAGAATAAAAAGTACATCAACTTACAGCCATAAGACATAATGGATAAAAAACCAAAAAATGAAATCACTCAAAAGATAATACTACTCAACAGCTACAATTGTTTAATCTACAGCTTCAATTGCATGCTGTGATTGACATTGAAATTTGTAGAAAAATGATGCTTTGTAAAAAATGAAAGTGTTTTTATCCAGAAATAATGTCAAATGAGAAGTTTGCTAAGGAAAGTACTAGGGTTTGGCCAAAAGCTTTATTCAAATACATTGGGCTATCTTAGGAATGGTCAAGCGGCAGTTGAAAGCGGATTCAGTACCAACAAGAACATGTTGCAACCTGATTTAATGAGTAAATCATTAAAAGCCAAAGAATTATATATGACCATATGAAAAGCTTATAACTTAAACCTTAAATTAATTAAAAATAAACATAGTACTACCAAAAATTTGTTTCAATTTCTTTTTATTGAGTAGTACTATCTCCTCAACAAATATTGCTATTTCCTTAACGAATAGTTATTATTCGTTAAAATAAATTAATTTAAAATATGAGTAGTACTATCTCCTTAACAAATAGTGCTATTTCCTTAACGAATAGTTATTATTCGTTAAAATAAATTAATATAAAATATTTATTCGTTAAGCGAATATTACTATTAGTTTGTCAGTCAGCTGTTTACATAAAGCTGGCAGATATTTATTAGTATCTAGTTAGTGACATTATTGCCACATTGTATGAGCCTGAGCTCCAGAACACAAGAGGGTTTTACTCCTATCTAAAAAAAAAAAGAGTTAAATAAATTATGCTGTGTTAATTATTTTAAATTAGCAACTAATTATCAATTAAAAAGTAAAAACCAAACCTAATAATTGGTTTCTAACAAGTTTCGACTTTTTCCTTTATAACTCATTATTTATTTTTAATATAGAAGTTGTTATATTTTTTAAGACCCCTGATGTATCATGAATATCCCCTTGATATATTACAAAAGTCTGAAAAATTGTTCAGCATAAAACAACAAAGTTATTTGACTTTGAGATAAAACACTCCTTAATTGTGTAAATTATGTTTAAAGTATCACTATTTACCAATAATATCGAGTTTTAGTTAGTTATTGCCCTTTTATTTGTGCCTCTACCCAGGTTAAAAACCAGATCAGCATAGGGGCAATCAACCATATGTTTTATTTTTTTAAGAAACAACTTATAATCAGTTGCACCCATTGAATATGCTATTAGGCAGATTGGGGGATTTTGGTTTCCAATAATGTGTTCAACCCTTGATAATTGAAAAGTAAGGTTATTTTGAAGTGCTGCCATTTTTATTGTGAATGCAACAAGTAAAAAATGTTTGCATTTTCAGATAGTTGGATTTTATGGTCTTAATTGCTGTTAAGCTTAGATCAATACACGTGTTAGAAAAAATTACAAGCATTTCAAAATGGCTGAAAATGGAACTTTTTTGGCAAACAAACATTACATTTTTAGATATATTTCAGTTCTAAACTGCAACAAGCGGCTTATTTTTTGTCTATTTGTTGCAGATAAAAGTAGCTAATCAGAAAACTAAACTGTAAGGACTTGTTGATGAATATAAAAATACTACAGTTAACTTCATTTTGGCCTTTTTTAGCATTTTTCAGTTTTTTTTCAAAGTTGAGGCTTTAATTTTTTTCTGATAATATATAAGTTAACCAAAACCATTATTTTTACCACAAAACAAAACTATCCAGAAAACACTTCTAGAAAAAATGAGACACTTTTGAAAGATAGAAAAAAGTTATGAGACTTTAAAGTAGTCTGTTTTTACAACTCTTAAATCGAGGGGGCCACTGTGCAGTGTTTATGAAGCTATATTTTCTAAACCGTTGCACTTGGAAGTCTACATAATGTAGATAATGGTATATAAATCTACATAATGTAGATAATGGTATGTAAAAATAAGCAAAATCTAAGATGGTGCCCCACTAAGTTTTCTCAAAATTGGTTGAAATATAATGATTTGACCCACCAACAAATTGTATTAAGTTTTATTTTCATGCTTTACAATATTCTTTTTTTGGTTGTAATTCTTTGTTAAAAAGTTAGAAAATAACTTAAAACTTATTTTTAAATGTTTTTTATGATATGTAAAACCACCATTGGAAATATACTATTTGATAGAAATATACTATTTGTTAGAAATATACTATTTGATAGAAATATACTATTTGATAGAAATATACTATTTGATAGAAATATACTATTTGATAGAAATATACTATTTGTTAGAAATATACTATTTGATAGAAATATACTATTTGATAGAAATATACTATTTGATAGAAATATACTATTTGATAGAAATATACTATTTGTTAGAAATATATTGTTTGTTAGAAATATATTATTTGATAGAAATATACTATTTGATAGAAATATACTATTTGATAGAAATATACTATTTGTTAGAAATATATTATTTGTTAGAAATATATTATTTGATAGAAATATACTACTTGATAGAAATATACTATTTGATAGAAATATACTATTTGATAGAAATAATATTTTATATAAATTACACCACACTTTTATACTTTAAAAATAAAACTTTTTAGAGTGAATCAGAAATGCTAAACGGACCAGTACATAATCAAAAGTATACAAATGGAGCTATTTGTGATCTTACATCAAAACCACGCAGTAGTGTAGTGAAGGTTTCAGTTTATTTTTAAACATATTATCTATAATTTATATTGTAGTTTTTACATATGTATATTATATATATTCTAACTGTCCGAAAAAAAAATTAATTTAAAAATTGCTTTTAGAGCAAACAAATTAATATGCACACTTTTTCTGCATATGCTATGCAATAAAGTTGCGCTTATATGCTATACAATATACACGTATACACTTACAGAAGTTTGTACATAACACTATAAAAGTATAATTTTAGCATTTGTGTAATTTTAAATTATATTTTGTTATTACATATCTATTTACATATCTGTATATACATTTCTTATACTTATAAAAAAGCGCTGAGAGACTCTTTCTTGCTATTACCTCGGGTTAAAGTACAAATATGAGTTTAGATAAGCAATGTGACATTATTCTAAAATAGTCTGCATTGATACATCATGTTTTATGCCATGCATTGATGATGTCATAGAATAGGGAGCTACAGGGGTTCAGAACATACATTGACTGAAAGTTTAGGCAGGTATCATCTAGATATTAAAAATTTTTATTACAATAAAATCTGTAATTACACATGTTTGACAAAATGTGTAAATAAACAGTAGAATTCATAATCAAAAAACAGTTGGCTGAATTTATTAAAAGCAACTTTAATTTGAATCTAAATGTTTGTTAACACGTGAGTTTTATCCATCCTATTGTGTTTGGTTCTTTGTTTAATATAAAAGTATTTACATTCTGCACATTGAAGTTTATACACAACAAACGATTTATAATATATAGGAAAGAAAAAATCTTTTCCCAAATATTTATTGCTATACTTACCAAATTATGTTATTAATGTTCCAATTAGTGTAATAAATTAGGATTTAGTAAATAGGATCGTAAATCAAGTCAATATATATATAAAAAAAAAATAAAGTTATAAATTTGTTTGGACAAATTGAAAATATGTATAGTGATACCTCTGAAGAAATCATCAATCTCTGAATAAATCACTGTGTCTCTTTTATATTTTTATATATAAGTGATACCTCTGAAGAAATCATTCAATCTCTGAATAAATCACTGTGTCTCTTTCCCTATTTTCTGAATAGTTATTGATGTTCTACTTTGAATATATAGGAAATGGATGTTAAATGGAGTACTTAAGGTAAAAGACTTTCTAGAGTAACAAAAAATTATAAAAATCAAATCAAATTTATTTGAAAATTAAATATAACATTGTTACAAAGCAAGAACACCATATAATGTAAGCTATTTATTTTATTGAACATTAAAAAAAAGGTAAAATGAGATTTGACATGGAAAAAATGGATGGGGAATTTTGTGTAATGATAAAATTATTCTCTATTTATGAATAACTCACACACAGTTGGTTGTTTTTTTTTTCCTTAATCCCAAAACAGTAATATTGAGCCCATCTACAGCACTCACTATAACAAAAATATGTATTTTTTTATTTTCAAGTAAATTTATATTCATTTTTTTATGTTTTTTTTTTATTATTATTCTGATTCACTCCCAACAAAGCTGCAATTAACCACTATTAAGTTGAGAGTAACTAGAAAAAAAGAATAGAGTTATAGAGCAAGGAAACAGTTAACATAAGGCAAGAAAAGTTGAAAGTCAGGAAAACATGAAAATGGAAGAGAGTTCCAAAGCGGGGAAAAATCTAGACAAATAAGAGCATGCAGGGACAGATACAGTAAAAGAATGAGACTTTGCTGAATGACAAGTCAAGCAAGATTGAGTTTTAGTTGATGGAACTAGAGATGATAGCTCCTTTGAGCAGTGACCATGATAGTATTTGTAGATAAGAGAAAGAGATGCAACTTTACAGAAATGGGAAAGAGGCTCAAGCTTAGCAGATAGAATGGGTCCAACTATGTTTGCTATGCATTTCCAGCCCAAATATTACAACAGTATTCCATACAGGGACAAATAAGAGATTTGTAGAGGTAGAGAATGAAAGAGCTACTTTAGATATAAGATTGTCAGGAAGATCATTAGTGTAGGTCAGAAACAAAATAGAAACTTTCCTAGATACACTATATGAAACAAGCTTAGGGAGAAGACCAGCATGCCAAAAATTGTTGAAAGCCTTAGATATTACTCTACAAGGGCTTTTTTCTTAAATACCCCATTTTACCTCAGTGTCTCCTATATTCAGGACTCAAAGATTAGAACTCCTCACAATAAAGGCAAGCTATGTCTTCATTTGTTGATTTTTTTTTTTAAAGATTTATGCTATTTGGCTTTTTTGGGCTTGGGATATGTTGCTTTTTTTTCTTTAACCTCCAGTTATGCCTTTTTGTAAGATGAGGATATTAACTTGCTGTTTTGACATACTTCTACACATGTTTTATTGGTGTCTGGAACTGGCATCAAATCATGTGGAGAAATAGTAAAACACCCTGACCCAATATCTACACCAGGTACATTTTTATATTGGCTTGTCGAAGGCTTGTTTTGAGCAAGCTGCTCAAATTCAGAAATTCAGGACTTTTTTTTATTTTTTTATTGGCAAGTGTTGTTTTTTTTTGCAGAAAAACGCCTTTTTTTGGCGACGTTTCCATCAATGTACTATTACAGTATGCATTGGCATGGGGGTACTAAGTTGCCTAAATTATTTTCCTATTCTAGCTCCTGACTATAATATTATAGGTCTGTTTGTCCTTGTCCTTTGGTGATTTTTTTTTGAAGGTCAACACTATTATTCAAGCTTTTTTATTAATGCTTTAGTTGAAAGCTTTAATTATTAGGTACCAGTTCCCTAAGTTAATTATTAAGTACAAGTTCCCTAAGTTGTAAATTAAAAAAAATTATATTAAGGAGATGTGAAAATTTCTATTTAATTTCTAACAATAATTACACTTGTCTTAACCTCATTTATGAATGTCAAGGTTAGGTACATCAAAGATAATCTTAGATATCAAAGTTCCATAAAGTCTTCAATATCTGAAAGCTCCAATAAAATACAGTATTGAAAATTAAGTTGTTACTGTACTTAAAGTCAAATTATTGTTTTATTTAAATAATGAATTGTAATTTGTATTATAACATTTTTTAAATTGTAAATATTCTTTTTATTTCATTATAATCTCTGTTATAACCTTATTTATTACATTATAGTACATATGTGGTGAAAATAATGCAATTTTACAAGTTGATGAACCTGAATCTTGTCAATATGTTGTTACAATAAGTAGCATAAAACTTTGTTCTCACCCATTATTCAAAAAGCAAGAAGAAAATGAACATTTTAACATGGTATGCTCGCCCAGTCTTTCTCAGGATGCATACAATAAATATATTAAGTTGAAAAAAAATAAACAAGCTAACAGTAGAGGTAGAGGTTTTTTTTTGATAACTCATTTGAATTTGTTTTAATTTTGATGTAGAAATTAAAAAAAAAGTCTAAAAATTGTTTTTTTTTTAATACTCAGACTTAAAAGACAAATATAAAGAAAAGGAGGCTGCAGCAAATAAGAAACCAGACATCAAAAATATTTTTCAAGACCTTAAAGATACTGCTACTGGTTTAGGCATGTTGTTTGGAAGTTTCTTTGGAGAGTTAGGTGAAAGTATGTTACTATTCATTTGTTGGGCTTTAACAAGATATCATAAATTAACAAGAAAATTATTTTTACATAGTGGTTGGTTTTTATGTTTATGCATTAGTTGGCTTTTATGTTAACATAGTGGTTTACTTTACTTTTATGTTTACATTGTGGTTGGTTTTTATGAAATAATATTAGTTATGAAATAGTATTAGTCAAGTTAACTAAATAGTATATATAAACTAAGTTGTTAATATACTGCAAGGGATTTAAACGCAAAAAATATTTTATGATAAACAGTTTATATCTTCAATTAGTATTTAATTATAATAAAAATAGTTGTTCACCATATGATTAGATCTTCTAGAAATAATTAGAAACCAATAAACGGTAGATATATTTCTATAGCACTCTATTTAAAGTATGCTAGGGGTTTGATATAAACCTGGGGTGTTATGGAAAATAATTTGATCTGATATTTTAAATATGCATTATAAGTACTTGCTTTCATCATTTTTAGCACTTTATTTAGGCTTAATATTATATACACATACACATATATATTTAATATGCTATATATAATGATATATATATTTAGAATTGCTTACCTAACCATATTTCACTTAACTAGAATGGTAAAACTTTATTTAATTAGAAAATTTTAAATTATAAATTCATTGACAAAATTCAACTTTGTAACACTTTTTTGTTTACAGGTATGCAAAAAATAGCAGCTCCAATTAAAAGTGAAGCTGAAGAAAAACAAATTATAAGCACTAAGAATGTTTCTCCCATAGTAACAGAAAATGTTCCATCGTCTGAAGGAAAACAAGATATTAGTAAAAGGGAAAAAATTTCAACAGACATTTCTGAAGATAATCAAAAAACTGAATTAAATAAGTTACCTCTTGAAGGAAATACCAAAAACAATAAGATTTCACCATTAGAAACTGATGTAGCAGATAAATTTTATACTCGGAAAGGTCAGCTTTCTATAGAATATAGTCAATTAAAAGACAGTGCTAAAGATGAAATTCAAATGTCCAAAAAAATGCTAGAAAAAATGCAGAAAAAGGTTGATGAGTCTGAAACACCTGCAGAAAAATTAGAATGGGAAAAGCTTGTTAAGCTATTGAAAGAAGACATTAAAAAATTTGAAGACCAAATGAGGTTTGATGTTCAAATATAATTAATTTACAAATTTATATGAAAAAATTTCTATTAATTTTTTTAAATATCTTTAAAAACAAATAATAGAAACTAAATACATTTTTTTTTTAAAAGGGTAATCATTTTTCTATACTAATGTGCTTTTTTGTAAAAAATATACCTGTATTTAATGAACAAAATAAATTAAGGTTTCCATTACCTGGCAGAAAAAAGTTACTTGGGTAATGGTTAGTTTTTATTCTACCTGGGTATTACCTGGATAATTTTATCAATTACTTTTTCTCAATATTAGCAAACAAAATCAAGGTATGAATTTAGGCAATTCAGATAAAAAAATAACAAGTTTTTAACAGAATAAAATAAAAAAGTTTTATAACTGAATTTTGTTTTAAAATTTGTAAAAATGTTTATTAAATTTTACAAAAGCATACATAAATCATGAATTCTTAGTAAGTTTTTTGTAAGTGACTGTGTTTATCATAATAACAAACCCTTATGTTTTTACTTTGTTACCTTTTATACTAGTTTCTATTTAAAAAATTTATAACTGCCTGAAATTATCTAGGTAACAGTGTGTGTGTGTGTGTGTGTGTGTGTGTGTGTGTGTGTTTATATATATATATATATATATATATATATATATATATATATATATATATATATATATATATATATATATATATATATATATATATATATATATATATACAGTGTAATAGTGTGTGTGTGTGTATATATATATATATACAGTGTAACATACAGTGTAATAGTGTGTGTGTGTGTGTATATATATATATATATATATATATATATATATATATATATATATATATATATATATATATATATATATATATATATATATATATATATATATATATATATATATATATATATATATATATATATATATATATATATTAGGGCAGGCCAAAATCTAAAAATTTTCAAAATTACATGTGGCTGCATGAAAAGTTGTTCCTTACCATATAGAAATTATTATTTAAAAAAAAAAAGTTTTCTATGATGTTTTTAAGTACTGCCGCATTTTATTTAAAGATTCATGTTTTTACGCAAAAATATCACTTCAAAAATTTAGGTATTGGGACATATTTAGCATCTATTCCAAATGTTTTAAATGCTTTAATATAATATTATATATATTTAATATAATATCACACAAAATATATTTTAACTTTAAAAAACGAATCCATTATTATATATAAGCAAGGTGCTATCTCATGCAGTGATGAATGGTATAAAGAAAATTGTTATTTGAATTGAACCAAGTCAGAAAATAATTCCTTCTTATTGAAATTACCAACAAGTTTTCTATGATTTTCAACGACTTCTATTATTTCGTTTCGTACTGCCTCATCCTAAAATTAGCCAAACATTCTGTAAAAAAAATCTGATAAAAACTTTAAATACTTTTTAAAAATACCTTTTTCTCACCTTTGCGAGTATCTGAAGATAATCCGAACATAACTTGATTCCTCGCTCTGCAACATCATTTGTAACCTTGACTGTTTTGATAAAATGTTTCATCTTTAAAAAGTTTCCATCTTCCTCCAATTCTGAAGGAGGAAATTTGAGCCATTTACCTTTATCGTTTAAGTTATGAAAGAGCAACCAAGATCTTTTCCTAATATACGGCAATATCTCTAAGTTCTTGTGAATAAATGGAAGATTAGGTTTTCCTGAGTTGATAGCAAGTGGCTTTCCTATATCTATCAACTTTAACGCAATGTTAGTCTTTTCTTTCAAACCTTATTTGAAAAGAGACTGAAGACTGAGATCTCCTCAGTTAGATACCATGAGTGTTTGTTAAGATCTTCTTGAGCTTTTTGAGCTGCATCAGAGAAGCCTGAGATCTGCTCTAAAGCACCTAGATCATTGTATAAATTAATATCGTTAATTGGTGCATCAGAGCCATTTGTTGCTTCTAGCCAAGCTTTAACATATAAAACTGAGCTGAAAGTCACAAAAGACTTTTAACTTTTCTATATCAGAATCAAGTAAATCTTCTTTAAAGATGAACATCTTCGGTGCATACAACAAGTGTGACATCCATCTGCATCATGATTGCAAGTGTGACATCCATCAGCATGATGATTTGCAGAAGTATTCATCATCAGCTGAGGATTTGATAGCTTAGTTCCATCTGGAGTTGCTGTTATCATTGGGTGAGAAATGAAGTTTTTTAGCAAAACCAGTGTGATACTATCTGATCCGGTGTCTTTTTTTTCTCCTTGCTGCCTTTTAGAAATATTAAACTCAGGATTACTTTTAGGAGAGTTTTGATATGCAGAACTCATAGAACGACTAGGCTTAGTGACATAAGAATCTTCAGCTGAGTCACTACTATAACCAACCAACTGAACAGTTTCTTCATCATCTATTTTTCTTCTTTTTTCATTTTCAGTTGCAACCTGTTTCTTTTCAATTCTTTCTTTTTTTCTCCTAACACTAGAATGTAGCACATTATCTTTTACACCAACTCCTCCAGTTTTTATTCCATTTTGAAGAGCTGTAAACCAGGCAATGTCTTCATCTGCATCCTTAGCTGATCTGGTTTTTCTAATGTCATCTTTCCAACTAGGAGAACTAATATCAAAAATGCCATCTAATGATTGAATAAAGTTTTGTTCAAGTAAACTCTTCTTATTAGAAATTCTATTTTTAGATTTTGAAAGCAACCTCCATTTTTCATGTAGCCTTAAAATATTTTCAATACTGTACTTGTCTTGTTTATAAGGAATGCCAGCCTTATCCCAAAAGAGCTTGACTGATTTAATAGTAAGCAATGCAGCTAACCTAGATTTTGAAATGTTGCTTTGAGTGTGCAATGCCTCCCTAACTTTAGTAAACTCTTCATAAGAGCTATCAATAACTTGCAAGTGATACCTTAAAATGGAAGATGAAAATAATTTAAACCTTTAAAAAAACTTTCAAAAACATATAGTTATAACGAATCAATAAAGAGTAGCGGTATTCAACGAATACCGCTACTCTTTATTGTATGAAAACCACTAAATAAAGTTATTGTGTTGTAAAATAAAAATCTAAAAATATAAGAACAAAAGATTTTTGTTTTGTTTTGTTTTACAAATATCTTATTAGAAAGATACTTTTTTTTATTTTTTTTAATTTTAATTCACCTCCTCAAGGCCGAGAAGGCCACTACAGACGAGGAAGCTACTTATTTGTGGCTATAACCCTCTCTCAACTCTATAACTCCGAAACACGAACCTTGATGAACAAGGCCGCTGCGCGGAGAAACGAGTTGAGCGCAGTACTACCAGGGATGTGGCAAGAATCGAACTCCGAACCACTCGTTTATGAAGCGAGCGCTCTACCACTACACCACTACCGCATACTTAGGCTGTTAAATTGAAAAAAAAGTATTATTTGCTATACTTTTAGTACTTTTTGCATAACTATATCAAGTCTGATTTAAATATTTCACATTATAAAATTAACGCATATTCAGTTTGTTTACAAAAAAACGCTAGTATTGGTATGTATTTAACTGAATAATTTAAATAACGGAACAGATGTAATGGAGGATTTGTGTTTTTCGTTTAGATTTCAGATTCACATTAAAAATTAAATGCGGCAGTACTTAGAGATATGCTACATAAACACTTTCATAACAAAAAATGATTTTTATAGTAAAAAGAACAATATTTTATACAGCCACTAGTAAAATTAATTTTTTGAAAAATTTATGTGGGACTGTGGCCTGCCCTAATATATATATATATATATATATATATATATATATATATATATATATATATATATATATATATATATATATATATATATATATATATATATATATATATATATACACACACACACACACACACACATTAGCCTTCAAAAGTTTGCAGACAGGTGAAAAAATATGGAATTTTACTTATATTTTATATATATATATATATATATATATATATATATATGTATATATATATATATATATATATATATATATATATATATATATATATATATATATATATATATATATATATATATATATATATATATATATATATATATATATATATACACACACACATTAGCCTTCAAAAGTTTGCAGAAAGCTGAAAAAATATGGAATTTTACTTATATTATATATATATATATATATATATATATATATATATATATATATATATATATATATATATATATATATATGTATATATATATATATATATATATATATATATATATATATATATATATATATATATATACACACACACACACACACACATTAGCCTTCAAAAGTTTGCAGACAGGTGAAAAAATATGGAATTTTACTTATATTTTATATATATATATATATTTTTTTATAATTATTTTTTTTGAAATATATTTATAAAAAAAAAAATATATATATATATTTTTTTTTTATAAATATATTTCAGCACATGCTTCACTTAAGCCAACATATTATATACCAATTAGAAGGTTTTCAAGTTTACAATTAGGTTGTTGCACAAATAATGATTATCTAATTAATATTTTTATATTGGTATACAAATCAACGGTTTTTGATAAGTACAAAATTTTTTGGATAAAGCATTATTTTTTTAGGATTGTACCAATCAGATGGAATCAGGTATGTTCGACATCCTACTGGATGTCGAACATACCTGATTCCATCTGATTCGAACAGCATAAACTTGCTTTCATCACTAAAAAGAATTTTAGACTATTTTTGACTACTCTACTTTAGATGTTCTGATGCAAATTCCTTTTGGGCCTTACGGTTTTTCAAGGAAACTTGGTTTTTTAGCTAGGCGTCTTTGAAATAAATTAGCGTGACGTAAACAACATTTTATAGTAGAAATACTACAATTCATTCCTTAGAAATGTATCATTTTATGTTTAAATCGACAGCTGTCAAACGGGGATTTTCTTTGCTTAGTATTACAAGCTTTTTATTCTGATAACGTGTTGTTTTGCGTGGCCTTCCTGACTGA